CCTTTAGAAACTTTGTTAGTTCATTAAATCCTCACTTTCAGATCCCTTCATTGTTTACAATAAAACAAATGATGGCAGTTGCAACAAACAATGTAAATGAAAATCTAATGCATAAAATAATTGATAGCTGCAGATTCTGTTGTTTAACAACAGATTTTTGGACTTCAATTGATAACAAAGGGTATATTGGAATAACATGTTCATGGTTGGAGGATTTTGAGCCAGTAGAGGTTTTGTTAAATCTACTTTATGTACCACATCCACATACAGGTGAAATAATAAAAGAGCTATTAGTTCATGAAATTGAAAGATGGGGCTTAAATGAAAAAATTATTGCAATTGCAACAGACAATGGTAGTAATATGACAAGATCAATTAGACTTTTAGGTGAAGTAATGGAAGTTGAAAGAATCCCATGTGCTGCACACACACTTCAGCTATCAGTTAAAAAAGGGTTAAAAATAAATGATAACATTGAAATTTTAATATTAAGAGCTAGAAGATTGATTTTATTTTTTAAATCACCAAAACAATGGGAAAGGCTTGGAGAAGTTCAAAGACAATTAAATTATCCTCATATTCTCAAACCAATACTGGATGTAAAAACTCGATGGAATTCCACTTATAAAGCATGGGTTCGTTTACTTGATTTAAAGGATGCCATTAAAGAATTGATTAATAGAATGCAATTTGAAAGTGATAGAGATACTAAGTATGATGCTAAAAGATTGAAGAAAATCATGCTGAATCATCAAGAATGGACATTAATTAAAGAATTAGTGTTGATATTAAAAGACTTTAATGATATAACAACAACATTAAGTGGCAATAGTTTTGTAACATTATCTTTAGTCTATCCTACCATATCACACTTAATTAAAAAACTCCAATCACAAATTTCAGATAATAATGATGATTTTGAATCTTTTGACAAATTCATACCACCTGGCAATAGTAATGAAATTTTTGTTGGACTAAATAATGATGATAATGATGACAATGATGTTGATGAAAGTATTGATAATGCTTTTATGGAAACAGAAGGTAATTAAATAAATATATTTTATACACATTGTTGTGTGAGTTGTTGTGATTTTAAATTTGTATGCATGAAATTCAAATTAACCATATGTAGGTAATACAGAAGAAATAGAAATCCTTGAAGAATTATCAAATGGTGAAAGACATAAAAGGAGATTAAGAATTTCAGTGCCCATAAATACAGCTAACTTAAAAGATAAATTCATTAAAGCTCTGTATAATTCCTTGCTAAATTATTGGTCAATGCAAACATCAGCACTTGGCTATCTGGCTTCAGCTTTAGATCCTAGATTTAAAGATTTAAGATTTGCACCTGAACGACATGATGCAACATATCAAATACTATCTAATATCATCCAATCATTGAAAGATGCCAACCAAGAAAATTTATCAAATACTTCAAGAAGGTCAACAATTGCATTAACTCACCAAAATCCATTACAAAAAACTATATTTGATGATTTGTTTGATGTTCCACAACAACAAGAAGAAGATGAATTAACCAAATATTTAAATATGTCAAATGTAGCAGGTAATGTTGATCCGCTTGGTTGGTGGAAAGATAGACAAAATGAATTGCCAATGCTTGCAATATTAGCAAACAAGTATTTGTGTTTAAGCGCAACTTCAGTTCCGAAAAATTGTTTTCTGATGTAGGAAACCACATAACACCTAAAAGAAATAGACTATCATCAAATCTAGTTTCAAATCTTTTGTTTTTGAAATGAAATATGGAGTCCATTTCTATTTTTGATTAATTTTAAAATTTTAATCAATTTATATTTTTAATCAATTTATATATTTGTTGTTTCTTAAATATTTTAGTTTTAAATTTAATGAACTTATTATTTTTTAAATTAAGAAAATTTATTAAATAAAATAAATTTATTAATGATTTTGTTAAATATACATGGCAAAAAATTATTAAAAAAAACGTACATAATAATAATAATAATAAATAAAACGGATTTATCGGAGTGCCGTCCAATCGTGTTTCGGGCATGTGACCTAGCCTCTTTGTTTTAGTTTTATTATTATATATATGTTCGAATTTTTATTTCATGTAACTAATTTTAAAAGAAAAGGTTAACATCAAGTGAAAAAACAATCAATCATCCATTTAATTAAAATTTCATATTAACATTTTGGGACTTGCTTATAAGATATAAGCAGAAAATTAATGTAAATTATTTCTTTTATAAAAAAATTCTGTTCTGTAATAAATATTTCATAATTTGAAAACATCTTTTTCACTTAACACTTTTGGTCGGGAAATTTATTTGTTATGATGATCATTCCTAATTCGATATGTAGTACCGAATATTCAATGAATATTCGAATATTCAGTTGTGTAACCGAATATTCATTGAATATTCGAATATTCATATAAAAACCGAATATTCGAATGTTTATCCGAATATAGTCAAATGATTAACATCACTATACACGGTTTTTGCTAGAAAACCCCCCATATGATTTTTTATATGTGTGGTCAACTATGTTTGTGTTTATTGAAATTTGTAACACCCCAATCAAAAATGGTTAATATTAAATTTACAATTTTTTTTAATTCTCTATTGACAATCACACATTTTTGTTAAGTCGTCGACATTAACAACGATTCAACAAAATATTTCCTCGCCTTGCAAAGTATTTTGTCAACCAACCATTCTTAACCACAACTACAACTTTTTTCTAAAAACTAATTGCTTTTTCATATTCACCAGAACCATTGTAATTATTACCCATACCCTATATTGTAGTTTTTATTATAAATTAACCAATTCTAAAGTAGGATATTTTGATTGAACCACAATACTTGTCTCGTGGGTTCTTATTAAGTTGGCAGTTTTTATTTGATTGTTTTTAACCTTACCTTATTAACGTTAAGATATGCTCAAAGAGTCACCAGTTGAAATCGTGTGGAATTAAAATTAATCAATCTTGGAAAATGGCAGTAATCGAGCATGTACAACTTTTACTAAGAATTATCTTCACTCTTTCTGGAAAAAACATTACAACCAAATTGTTGTTATAGAGGGAGGGAGTGAAATAGACTATTTAAATATGTGATTAACCGTTTGTACTGTTATTGCACAAGATATACTTACAAGGAAACAGTTAAAACTTAATTGGGTAAGAAATATTTAAAGCGTAAACTAGTGCCAGAAACGAAGCAAATTCTCATAAATGAAAGGTATGCACCAATTATACTGTATTAGTATGTTAACAACATTGATTGAACTCAGAAATTATGAAAATATTAATAATTTTACGTTAATTTCTTTGAAACAAAGTGTTGTATAGAATACTAATATTAATATCAAGTAAAAAGAAAGTCATTGTATAGAAGCATCCGATAATTGAATGTTGAATAATTAGGAAGCTGGATACTCATTTTTTTTTAAAGATTAATCACCATAAAAACTTTTTATATACAGTGTGCCGCATTTGCAATCTAACAATAATAATAAACAAAGGATTATTTATTATAATCCTACATGTTCAATTATCTATAAATCTTTAAATGAACATCTTACTTAAACCTTTGACCTTCAATAATAACACATGGTCAATACAGAACTATTATATTTGAACTCCGCCCATCTTAAATATCGAATTTTACCTTATAATTTATTCAAAGCAGTTTATTAATTTTTTCATTTATGACCAAATATTTATATATTAAATGTTGAATAATTAATTGTCTTTTTATTTAATCAGTGGAAAATAACAAGTGATGGAGAAGTAATAAAAAATGTCAATGCAAGCGGTGAAGTTGGGAGTATCAAAGAAGTTGACAAAATGATTGAAGAAAATAACAATATTTTTGCTGTAATTTTATAAATTGATGGAATCATTATTTTAATTAATTGTCTAATTATCATTAATTAAAGACAATTTATAAATTTTAGTAATTTAGATACAATAAAATAAAAAAGTAGAAAGAAAAAATCATCTGTTAATAAATTCCAAAAAAATTAAAACATGGTATTTAATTAAATTCATATTAATATTATTATTTATATTGCACTCTTGAAACATAAAAATCAATTCCAGGATCAGGTCTAGTAACAATGACAGTTTTCTTTTTGACCTGGAAACCTTCAACTTCCCTAAATTTAAATTTTCTTATTAAAGAAGTTAAAATAATCTTAAATTCAATTGTGGCTAATTTAGAACCAATACAAGATCGTGGACCTGTTGTAAATGGTAAATAGGAATAATTATTTATCTCAGATGTTAATTTTGGATTTAACCATCTTGATGGTTCAAATTCATCATGATTTTCTCCCCAAATTTTTGAGTCATGGTGAACTGCATATATTGATAATACAATTGGTGTGTACTATTGATTAATTAAATGATATATACAAGAAGCAGAAAGAAAAAAAAATTAAGTAGATGTTATATATTTATAAATTAATAGATGTTAAAATTAGAATTAAATAAATTTAATACTTTTGGAATAAAGTATCCATCAATTGTTGTATCAGTTTTACAAGTTCTAGATACAGCTGGACCTAATAAATATAAATATAAATAATAATATGGTATTAATATATATGCATATATATACTTACACTTATTATACACATTCTTAATATAAATAATTGTATAAATATATTAATTTTTCATCTTTTATAATTATAATAAAAAGTACCTGGTGGAATGAGTCTCAGAGTTTCTTTGAATACACAATTTAAATATTCTAAGGAATTTATTTTATCAAATGATGCTTCCAAATTAGGATCTGGTAAAGCTTCCAATAATTCTTGACGAAGACAATCTTGAACCTCTGGATGCTTGGCAAGTAAGTATAATGCCCATGAAAGTGCAGTACTTGTGGTTTCATGACCAGCTGCTAGAAATGTCATGATCTATCACACAACAAATAAATTAAAACTAAATAAAATAACAAAAACAAATATATAATAATAATATATGTATGTGTGTAGTTAATTTACTTGATGTTTTAATTCTAATTCAGAAATTTTTTCTTCTGGTGGCAAATCTTGATTACTATTGATTAATAAAGACAACAAATCTTTTCCTTCCAATTTTTTTAATTGTGCCTGTTTTTGTTTTTCCTTAATTAGATGCAAGGAAATTTTTTCAGTGACTTTAACAGCATTGATTAATCTTAAATTTGCTTCAAATGGCAAAGATCTAATCCATTTGAATTTATCTGATATAGCCATTAACAAGAAATTCTTGAATGTTAATTTAGGATTAAAAAGCTCTTCATAAGCAGTTGCTAATTCATTCTCAGAACTAAGTGAATTGAATTCATATTGAAATCCTATTCATAATAAACAATGTATATATATATATATATGAGCAATAATATATTGAGCTAATGTAAAAAAATATTTTTAAAACTTACCAACTAAGCCAATAATATCTAATGCAGCATTTGAAATATATGAATTGATATTAATAATTTGTTTTTCATCTTGATCACCAATCAAATCATTCAATATGTTATTCAATTTATTAGTAACATTGATAATTGTAGGGACCATTTCCTACAAATTGAATGTAATTAAACAAAACATTCAATTTAAAATTAAATAATATTTAATATTAATAACAATAATTACTTTCAAGTTTGTAAAAGAGAATGCTGGGTTCATCATTTTCCTTTGACGTTTGTGTTGATCACCTTCAGCAAACAAAATCCCATCTCCTACCATGATTCTTAAATCTGTAGTAAATTCCAATGGTTTAATAAATTCATAAGCATTATTTGTCAATATTTGTGGATAATATTTAGGATCTGTTAAAAGTACAATTGGTCCATTTAAAAATCCATGATATACTATTATTCCTCCATATTTCTTGTTCCAATCTAAATGAGCTTTTCCCACCTTTAATTTAATATTTAGTAGATAAAAAATTAATTTCATTGGAAAAAAATAAATAAATAAATATTGTATAAAGCAGATACTATTATTTACATCAGATACAACGGTCAAAAAATTTCCAAAAAAAATACTTTCAGAAGGTGGACCAGGTATTTTACATAATGGTGACAAGTAAAAAGGTTTAATTAAAGATTTATAAATGAAAAAACTTATTGCACCTAAAATTATAGTAAGTAAATAAGTTATCAAATTATCAATCATTTTTCACATTAAATTTCGTTGACTTTGTTTTTTTTTTAACAATTATTATTATTATTAATTATCAATAAAGAAAAAAAAATATTAATTTTGGAATAGAGCATTTTTTATTAATTATTATTATTATTATTATGTTGTACGTAAAAATGAAATTATAATTCACAATTCACATATTAATATGTGAAATTTAATTTTTTTTTACAAAATTCTCTTGTCGCTGTTGTATGTGAAATTGAAATTATGTGATATTATGGAGTGGGGTGAAATTCCGATTGGCTAATTTGAATTTCACACATGTAAATTTGAATTTCATACATGTAAATTTGAATTTCACATATGGGACTGTCTACAGCAAAACCACCTCCGAGGTAAATAACTCATTTTGTGTAAATACAAAATCAAAATTTGTTACACAGAAAAAGGAAAATTG